TGCTATTGCTATTGCTATTCTCCCCTAATCCACTAGACTGTTTCTTCCCCTGCTTCTTGGGGAATAACTTTTAGAACGTAGAAAAGTTACTGTTTGATTTTGTTTTTAATGCTGGGAGTCATTTATCCAATAATCAATTTCTTTCTCTCTCCCATGCTCTCTAGAGAGATATGAAAACATCCGAAACATCTGGAGAAACAGCTGTAAGATATTCAGATTAACAGGAGTCCTATTTACATGAAGTTTTATAAGGTTGGCCTGTATTTAAGATGTAGTTTATCAGGGGAGTAGGAGTACATTAGCAAGATTTGGTTGCAGGAAGCTTTGTTGTGTGAAATTCAAGATTAGAATCTCAAGAAGTTGTAAAAAAGTATAAAATAGTTCATAGCAACTATAGACCACACTACAGACAGGATCAGCAATAACTCTCAGTGATGCTATTTAAATCTGTGGGAAAATTATATAAATAATACCAATATGTTTGATACTACAACATAATTCATATAAATATGAAGTATGAAGCCTCCTTCCAACCCATGCATTCCACAATCTCCTCCAAAACACAGAGTCATTGTAATCAATATGAAATTTACTCACATATATTTTGGATGTATATCTCCTACCCATAGTATGGCGTTTCGTTATCTATCAGCTCAATATCTCTACTTTCAGATATCTACTATTCAGATAGGATAGGATATACCAGAAAGAAGAAACATCTTGAGCAAATTTCTCCCACTGGATTTTGTTTATCTTTCTTATCTTCATTTCTTGTTCTCATTCTTAAGAGAGCATGGCACTCTATTAAAAATACATATTTCTGATTCTTGGTTTACAAACATTTAGGTATACAAGGCAGGCCTTCCATTTTATAAACAAACACAATATATACTGAAAGTAAGATAAGCAATGTTCTACAATAATCTACAGTTAAGACTCTCTAGCAAGCCTGACTACAAATCTCTTTCTCTTTCACATCTGCATTGCCAGGCAGGCACCAAAGGATTAAATAATGGTTTTTCTGCAAAGAAATAGGAAATTATGCATCCATACAGCATGGAGAAAAACTGCCATTCCTCATATCTTTTTAAGTTCACGTGGTTTTGTCTGCTCTTTTCAGCTTAACATTCCCTACAATCTCTCTCTTGTTTAGAAAAAGGCGCTTTCTGGCAGGATAATCAGGGGCTCTCATCTCACCAGCCTAAACCCTTGCACTATTCCTGATGACTTCTTAAACATGTTCTAGTTATTAGCAAAAAAAAAACAAAAAAACCCACTGCATTCTCTTGGGAAGGTTTTTTTTTNTGAGGCTGCACTTGGAATATTTCATCCAGTTATCATTGCCATGATACAAAAAAATGCTAAGGCCCTAAAAAGGATATAAAGAAAAGGCAACAAAGATGACAAGGGATCTGGAGACTAAATTGTACGATAAAAAGCTAAGGTACCTAGATATGTTTAGCCTAGCGAAGAGAAGGCTTAGGGAGTGAAATAAAAATGTGCAAGAAGCAATGGAGGGAAATACAATCTGGAACTAAGAAGAAATTTCTTGACAGTGACAACAATTAATCAATGGAATAGCTTGCCTCCCAGAATTGTGAATACTATGGTAGAGGTTTTCAAGAAAAGATTGGACAATTATTTGTCCGGGATGGTATAAGGACTCCTATCTTCGGCAGGGGGTTGGACTAGAAAACTTCCAAGGTCCCTTCCAGCCTATAATTTTCATTCTATAATTCTGCCTCAAGGTAGTCAAACTGAACATGAAAAGGATATTGTTACATCTTTAGCACAGTGTTTTCCTCCCATGGCTTTAATGGCCCCAGCAGTGCTAGCATGAGGCCACTTCCCACCTTGTTCTTGTTCTTGGCCTACAGTGACTTCAGTGCCAGGTAGAACCTTTGCAGCCAAGACAGGGGAAATACAGCACAACCTAAAAGAGAGCCAATACATAATTTACATGTAGAGTTCAACACAAAATGATTATGTACAGTCAAGATTAATAATGGAAAAAAGATATATGATAATATAAAATACTATAGTGATTAGACATTTAGAGATAGCTTTCAATTGGCTTATTTGGAATAATTTTGGATACTTTGGACTGTAGTATTTTAAATACATTTCAATCATATAGCTGGAATGTGGTCCAATCCTACCTAGTGGAATTAAAATTTTGGGATTTAACTCCCGAAATTTTTTTCAATCATCCACATTTTTTGACTATTTTTTAATATCTCAACCATTAGGTCATTGGGTAGACTGCTGTACTATAAATTTTATTTTTTATCTTACCATATTCCGTAACATTATTTCTAGGAAAAATTGTTCTACTGATTCAAGATGGCATTTAAATGCTTCATTTATATTTATATTTTTGCTGTTTTTAAAATTTAGACAACAACAGCGAGAGGAAAGTGCATGCATATTTCGATTTTTGCTTTTATTTTATTTGCTTCCTCACCCCCTTTTTTATATCATAACTAAAAAGATTTCAAAAAGAAAAATAACTGCATCTCAGGCTAAAAGAAAGCCTCATAAGTTCTTCATAGAAGAGTTTGCTGCATTATACCTAATCATGATTATGTTTGCAATGGAGATGGCTGCCATGCAATCTCAGGAAAAGGCACAGCTACTTTAAAGAGCAATAGACAAGTGCTTTTTCTGAATTCCTTTAGTTCTGACAAAACTGGTGCCCTTATAAACTAAAGTACTATTCAGAATCCTTGAAAATTGGCAACAAACAAGTTTAATGAATTAATTTTAATGAATAGCTTAAACTAGCCTAATTACTGTAGTTTTCGGACTATAAGACACACTGGAGTATAAGACGCACCATGATTTTGAAGAGGTAAATTTTTTAAAAAAGTTTTTGCACTCTGCAGGCCTCCCAAACCCTCTGCACACCATGTTTTTTGCAAAAAAAAAGGGGGGGCATGCAGCGCTTTGGAAGGCTTGTAGAGTGCTCCTGGGGGCTGCCCCCCCAAAGAATGAGCAATAAACTGCCTGTTTTTTGCAAAAAAGGGGGGCATGCAGAGGCTTTGGGAGGCTTGTAGAATGCTCCTGGGGACTGGGGGCAAAAACGGCCTGGTTTTTACTCATTTTTGCCCTCCCCAGCCCCCAGGAGTACTTTGCAAGCCTCCCAAACCCTCTGCATGTCTATTTTTGCAAAGGGGGCAGGGTTTCAGTAGGCCAAAAATGTTGTATTCAGTGTATAAAACACACCCAGATTTTTACCCTCTTTGGGGGGGGGGGGAGTGCGCCTTACACTCCGAAAAATACGGTAGATGACTACCCCATTCCCCCAAACTACTATTGACTGTGACTTGCCAAGAGCCTAACCAATCTGGTTTTGCAGTTCTAGGTTTGTAAGTTCATTTTACCTAAGAGAATCACCAGAAGTAAGTCTCTGGCTGAAGTGAGAGCTATGAAGAGTTCTTTAGAAAAGAGTATTTAAATAGGTGACATACCCAATGGGTTTCCCTGATTTGTGGAAGTCTTTCAGCACACGCTCAACATCTTTGTTAACTTTACAGTCTTTCCCATCCACAGAAAAGGTAGATCTGCCACAACAAAAGAAACCCACACAATGCATTACAGTTCTAAGATACACATTCATACTCAGTAACCTACAAGATATGAACAGTTGAAATAATCATACATTTTTTGTCATTCATAGATTCAAATACTGTTCCTTTAATGTGTAAATGCTTTTTCCAACAAAAATGTCAGGAATAGCAAACTCAGTCTTTCCACTTCTCCTTTGGAAAAAAAGAAGTAGTTGAGAGACAAGGGTTTATCAATACATTATATATTTATATTTCTCCCTTCTATCCTATAATTCCAGGATTCTCCTGTTTCCAAGAATTCAGGAAAAGGTACATTAATTATCCCTTGCTTTTATGTTAAAAAGTGGTACTTTGAGATTCTTTCCTTTGTTCTGCTATCTCTGAGACTTTAAGCAAGCTTCCATAAGAACCAACAGAAATTTGTTGTTTCTGTAATTGCCTTGCCAGGGACAGGATTTGTAACCAATTGGGAAGAAAGTGTTTCCCAGAAATGCTCCAAATAAGAAATGACATGATTGTCAACATCTTATTGGTGTGTATGTTGATGGACGTTGGATGAATGTCAAAGAGAGGAGAAAATAGAAAGCAACTAAAACAGTGATGTGAATGAATGGGGGTAAATAAAATCAAGGGGATTATTCTGGTCTAAGCCATTTTACAGCTAACTTAAACTGAATAAAAGTTACAATATGTGTTCTTCAAAGGCAAGCATAATAACAGTCATAAAGCTGTTTTAATGAATTGCATTGGTTGTGCTTTGTTCAGGCTTGCACAGAAACATTCCCCCCGCCCCCAAAAGGCATAGCTCCTCTGCTGTGGTTATGCTTCCAGATACTTCAGACTGCTCTTCTAAGTAATTTTAAATGCATATACAGAGCTAGTCCACACTAATATTTCCCAAGTTTTGTCCTACAAAGTATTTTTCATATGCCACAGCCAGGCCTATACTCAAGATTTCAATAAAAAGACTAATACTTCCATGCAAAGGAAAAAGTTAAATTCTGAAATACTTAATAGATAATTGAATAAATAAGAAATAAGCACAAAACACAAATTAAACAGACAATTAGTTCTTTCTTATATGAGAAACTAACTTTGGCTTCAATGTGGAAGCTGTCCTGAAAAACAAACATTTTCCTCTCATGCAATACAATGTGAACTGTGGCACATTTTAAGAGGTTGAAGGTTGTCAACAAAATTGAAATATAGATTTTCAACTTGTTTGATACATTTATTACAAGAAATTATATTGCATTAATTACTGCAGTTAATATTGCAAACTTTCCTGAAGTAACCACAATATATTCTCACTCCAACACTAAGACATATAGAAAGGAGAGCAACTTTTAATTCTGTTCATGATTTGAGAAAGGATATTTAAAAGTACATTTTACTAATTTCAATTCAGGGTTGCAGTCAGAGTTTACACTGTCTGCTATGTCATTTAATCACAGCTGATTAAAAAAGTAGTAACATATTGTGGCAACTTACAGAATTAAATACTCACAGATTTTTAGCAGCTCCAAAGCCTCCAGGAAATACTACCGCATCATAGTCTCTTGCAGTAAGTCTAGCCAAGTCGTTAATTTTCCCACGAGCGATTCTTGCTGATTCTGTTAAGACGTTTCTTAGAAGAATATAAATATAAATGCTTTTTGGGCATCAAATTTTAGAGTTCTGCTTATGAATAGAGTTTAAAAAGAGAACAGAGTGCCTAATTCCTTCACATAACAANGGGGGGGCATGCAGAGCTTTGGGAGGCTTCTAGAGTGCTCCTGGGGGCTGGGGGGGACAAAAATGAGCAAAAATGCCCCCCTTTTGCTCATTTTTGCTCTCCCTAGCCCCCAGGAGCACTTTGCAAGCCTCCCAAACCTTCTGCATGTCCATTTTTGCATAGGGTGCGGGGTTTCGGTAGGCTAAAATGCTGTATTCAGTGCATAAGACACATATTTTTACTCTCTTTTTTGGGGGGAAGGTGCATCTTATACTCCGAAAAATACGTTATTTGTAATTTTCGGTGGCCGTAGCAAGATGCCACCAAGGCCAGGCTTAAGACTTCAATTATCTGCTTATATTCTTCGGTGGACATTCTCTGCTTTGGCAGAAAAAAGAAATTCTATGAACTTAGAGAGTCCATGCGATTCTTCTCACAGCATTGTTTCTTACACCCAAACATCTGTTGGCAGGAACATCCATGGCTTACGCCAGCTCCCTAGAAAAAGAGGACTTAACCATTATCTCTAGTCTTTATTTTCTTCAGGAACCATTTCGCTATTTCCCTTCTCTGCTAATTTATCTAGGCACTCTGTTGTTGGAGAAGATGGAGGTCAAGCAAGAGTTCTCCTTGTAACTGAGAACAACCTGAGAAATATCATACCTGTTTACCTTCAAGGTAAAGCTGAAGGAACCTTTGATTCTGCTCTGACAAACAGCACCTCGGGTTTTTGGGGGTTTTTTTTGGCTCACTTCCTCTGGGCGAGATTTCTGTATTTCAATTTTTCTCATCTCTCTATGTTTTAAAAAATTGAGCCCTAGGTAACTTCCTTCCCATCTAATGACTGCTTGAGAGGATTCAGCGTTAGAGAAAAATCCATCTTTTAAATGGCAGTGAACGCAGCTTTCAGAATTTCAAGGTGACCACCTCACTCTTTACTTGATTGAATATGACAGGGGGGTGGGGGTTTCAGGTATCTCCTCTGAAGATTAATGGCAATTTGCCTGAGTTCCTTCAGGTCCAATAGGGGGAATGCCAAATGCTCATGAAAAGATAGGAAGATGTGGAAATGTGTGTGGGTAAATATTGGTTTGATGGTGTGAAGGAAGGAAAGATACTGCTTCTTCAGAGGATAATTAGAACTGTAGAAAAAACAATTACTACCAACCTGTCATATTCAATCAAGTAAAGAGTGAGGTGGTCACCTTGAAATTCTGAAAGCTGCGTTCACTGCCATTTAAAAGATGGATTTTTCTCTAACGCTGAATCCTCTCAAGCAGTCATTAGA